GGGGGGGGGGGGGAGGAAATTGGGCAAATATTTTTCAAAAAAAAGACTGCAGACCCGTCTCCTATATATTAATGTAAATTCAGCTATTCTGTTGGATCAATTATAACCTATTGCACATCCAGTTGAGGATGTACAAGATGGTAAACTGAAACGCTGAGAAGAGGCAGTAATTACATCACATACAGGAAAAGGCTGACTTTTATTTTGTAATAATATTTCATAAATTTGATATTTCAAATTAGCTCCAGTAAACAAATGCAATTTCAACTCCCTGGTTTTGCTCATGTTCCGTGCCACCTGATTACCACTCTGCTTTTTATCTTAGTTGAAGCTGATCGAGAGCGGGGCTTTCACCTGGACATTGAAGACTATCTTTCTGGTGTGTTAACTCTCGCCAGTGAGCTGGTAAGGAAGATACTAATGCATATATTTGGATTGAAACTGACTTAAATTCAAGTGTTTTCTAACTTTCCCAAGTTGTTCCTGGAAGTTATGATATGCAACACTTCCATCTGAACTGCTAGCAAACTGCCTCTCTGTATGCCAGAATTGTTCCTCACTGATATTTTAAGATTTAAACTAGTCACTTGATTGAAAATCCAGGATTGTTGTCAACAAAAAGGTAGATCCAAGTATAAATAATCTGACTGCCTGGAATAAAACTGCTTCATTTGGCAAAGTAACTGATGGGAACAGTGACGTGATTTGGGTGGGTTCCTCTGCTGATGTTCTCCTGTGCATCTTCCTCTCGTAGGCCAGGCTGGCAGTGAACAGCGTCACAGCTGGTGACTATTCTCGCCCACTCCGCATCTCAACTTTTATCAACGAGTTGGATTCTGGCTTCCGTCTCCTCAACCTGAAGAATGATTCCCTGAGGAAACGTTACGATGGCCTGAAATACGATGTCAAGAAAATTGAGGAAGTGGTTTACGACTTGTCAATCAGAGGACTCAATAAGGAGGCAACAGTTGGTGCAGGTGGAGAGAAATGAAGGATGCTCATTTTAACAGCATCATTGATTACCTCAGATGGTTGCCAATTTAGGAGGTGTGCTAGCGAAGCCTTCCTACAGTAGTTTAGAAGAAGTGCAGCTGAAAGCTGCTCTCTATTTTCTTACAAAAGGTGTAGTACGGGTGTTAGATCTCAAAATGTTTTGTAAAGTCATGTCTAGATTAGGGCAGGAGGCTTTCTGTTTCCAGTGGAATTCCTCTGTCAAAACACGGTGCCGTTCTGTGCACAGCAGCAATAGTAGTCGGTAACTCCCAGGAGCTGAAATTCTCATTAGTTCTGTAGTGTTGCTTCACTGCTCTGGCAGTGACGTGCTTCAGCTGTCCCTGCTCACACGCCTTGAAAGACGTGTGCACAGCACGCAGCTCAGCGCAGATACATGTAGTGTTTTAAAAAACACAGTGTGTAAATATCTATACATTTTTTTTAAGACACTGATTTTTTTTTTCCTTTTTATTTCTTAAATTTTCACCTACGTCAGTAAGTTGAACAGATTTGCATAACTGTTTATTAACCAGATCTTTTAAAATGGTTTCTGTAAATGTATCCCCCTTAATTGAGAAATTAGTGAAAATATTTCTGAGAATTTCTCCATTGGAACTGTGTATTTCACCCGGGCACATCTCTCTCTTTCTCTCTTTTGTTTTTTTTCCTTTCCTCCAAGATTTCTTTTGCCAGGGAGAGCAGGGTGTTCTCAAACATCTGCTTTCACTGGCTGGTATTTGTTTTACTGACATGAGTAAATGCTGAGTTTTAATATCATCATTTGCCTTGAGAACTCGGTGTAACCAATTTATTATTTTTTTTTAACTACCAAAGTTTCCCAATAGAGAAGTGCTAACCGATAAACTGCAGGTAGCATTGAGTTTTAACAACCTACATAGGCTACAACTGTACCCGTGTCCTGGGATTAAAAAAAAAATCAAAACACACCAAAACTGTAGTTCATTTAGTAAAATGTTTATATCTTCAGAAAAGGGGAAATCACTAGTTTCAGATACTTCGTGTGTAAGGTGTTTGCAAACACCAACAGCCTCTTTCATTTGTGTAAATACTGCCCAGGCTGTTTGTTCTCTTGTCCTAAGTGACTTTGAGTCTTGCCATTCTTCTCCTGCTTCTGGTGGTGCAGGAGGGTTAAGGAGAAAATCAGACTTAGTGAGGGGGAGGAATATTTCCAGAGGATGAACAGGAACAGTAAAGGTTATGTGGGGTTTGTTAGTGTTCCATTTTGTTAGCAAAGATTTCCCCGTTTCAGTCGGGTTTTTGTTTTGTTTCTTGGAAGAAGATGGTTTCTTGGTTATTTTGGCCAATAAAAGCTGTTCTTTGATTTTGGCCATTTGGTAACTCTGCTTGTTGTCTGATTATCTGTTGTTGTTTGCTTCCCTTCCTGGGAGCTTACTCTGAAATATCCTAATTTAAGTTCAGCCTGCAGCTGTACTTGGACAATAACAGAATTCCTCACTTTGGCTGTGTGCTGTTCGATGGGCCACTCTCACGAGCTGGCGAGTGGAGCCTAAGTTAAGCTGCAAACGCATCTCATAGGCTTTTTTTTTTTTTTTTACTTTTTATTTTGACCTATTTCACCAAGTAAAACAGGAGAGGTGTGGAGGAGTTTATCGTTACTAAATCCAAGATGTGGTAAGATTCATCTTCAGAGCATCTCATAATCTTTAATGTTTGTCTCATCCTTTGTATCTTATGTCACATATGTAGGGAGATGGTAATATCCCTCTTTCACAGCTGAAGAAAATGAGGGTGTAACTTCCTGAGCCCCATGGCAGTGAGCCCAGCTTTCAAAGTAGTTCTCTGTTCTTGACCTCTGCCACGGTTTGCTTCTTTCTCACTTTAACCCTGTGGAGGTGGGAGGAAGGAAGAAGCTTAAGCCAGTTCTACTGCCAAAACCAGAGACTTGTGAAACAACACCCAAAGGCTCTGAGAGACAGCCGTGCAGAGCAAGGTCACACAGGAAACGCGTGGGAGCCGGGGAATTAGAGAAAGGTTTCCTGAGCGTCAGTCTGATGTCTCTCGGGTTGGAGGACTCCTGGCATGCAGGACTGGGATGGGAGGCCACGTGGTGGGCAGGTTGCTGGTTTGTTAAGGCTTTGCGCTGGCTCCCAGGTGCTCCGGTCACATTTGGTCACGCAGCAGCTCTGCGTCCTGACGTGGGATCCCATGTGCCTAACACAGTTTTTCAGTAGATCCTAGATCTGCCAGCTCTTGCATCTTACATGGTTTCCAAGAGTTGGTGGAGATGCAACAGTGCTGCACTACACATGTAGATACTGTGGGAGAGACAACTGGAAGTGCAAGTCTCTTAGGGCTTACAAAGTCTGCAAAATGTGGAATCCTTCAGCCTAAGGCTCTGTGAAGAGCAAGTGCCTGAGAAAGAGACACTCCAGTGTTGTGTTCCTGGAGGGTGTTAAGCAAACACCTCATTCTTTCCCATTCCTAGGTTTTGGGAGAGCCTAGTGTCTTCCTCTGGAAAAGCAACATTTGCAAGAGCCAAGCTGCATAGTGCATTCCCAAGCCAGGTCTGGGTAAGGGAAAAGAAAATCGCAAACTTTCTCCCTAGGCTGCAGCAGGGAAAGCCGAGGACATGCTTCTTTGTGGCTTCCTCTGCGCAGAGGTAGCCTGTAGGACCTTGTGGCCTTGATTGTGAATCTGCACGTTACTCTGGTCCTAAATTATAAGTTGAGTTTTTGTCCCAGAGCTCAGAGCAGAGGGAAGAAGGGATGACCCAAGAAGGACTTGAGTAGGGGATGTCTCTTCTCTGACCCTTCCCCTTCCCTGGGGTAACAGGAGTGGGTTACCCAGCAGGGAACAGCAGTGAGCGACGGAGCTCCGAGGACTGCAGAAGTTTGGTGGCTCATGATGAATCAGACGCACTTGAACTCTGAACAAATAACTCCTGTTGGTATTGAATGGAGTGCGCAGTGTGCGCTGGCAGCTGGGAGGGGAGTGACTCAGGGCAGGAGCGCTGGGGAGTCTGACTCAACAGCCAGCACAGCTATTCTCTCAGCCACTTCAGCCTGAAGTGTGTTCCAGGGAGTGCTCTCTTGGATCATCTTCTTTTTCACTCACTGGTTTGTTGGTTTTTTTTTTTCCCCCCATCTTGACGTCATTTCTATGGGTTTTCTTTATTTCAGTAAAAAGGGCACTTAAATAGTTGATTAACTGCTCTTTATTTATAGCACTGCCTATTCAACCCCTGCTGATCAATGAAAGTGCTGGCCTGAAACCGTTTGGGAAATAGGGGTGAACAGAGCTCCGTGGCACAGGATGCAGAGCAGACCTTGGGGCTGGCTCTTGAACCGAGCTCTGTCTGCTGGAATTGATTAACTCCAGCCCGAGACCGGCAACCTCTTTAAACTGGCACTTGTTAAAGGACACGTTATCACCTCCAGACTGCCCTTTTCTAGCACCAGCACACGTCTTTGTGCAGTCAACTGGCTCAAGGAACTGATCCTAGCTCAAACAATCTTTATTTTTCAGTGGTGTTTGCTCCCAATCCGCACTGTGCCAGTGCACGGAGGGGGGCTGCTTCCTCTCCCTGTGGGGCCAGCTTTAAGCGTTCACCAAGCTGTAACACTACGTGGTAAATTGTCTGATTTTCTTGCAGTAATTTAACTGCTTCCAGTTCTGTTAGGATTGCCAAGGATTTTTTTCTTTGGGTAAATAATTTGCCTTCATTTTACTGCAAAGTGATGACTTCTGTCTATAGAGCCTCACTCACATTTTTCAGCCAGTGAGGTCATTACAGACAAAGGCAATTAACGAGAGCAGAAAGTGAACATGGATGACTCCTACGGGTCTGTGCGTGGATATTGACCCGTTACTCATTAGCAGTCCATCTTCCCTCATTAAAGTACTGTCTGTTGCTGGATACTGTGGTGTACTGACGTGTGTGTAGGGGCTGTTCAGAGAGCCTTCTGCCTGCTGAATTAATCGAGTGTCGTTAAGCAAGTGTTTGATTCTGAAAGGAATAGTCCTGTATGGTGTATATATCTCCTGTACATGTTGTGGGTCAGGCATGAATTACGTGAAGATGGGTGTCTCCTTGCAGGTTTCTTTGCCTCTCTTATTGTCACTTCAAACTGCAGCACTTCTGGCTGCCACTGGTTAGCCATCACTGGAGGATTATCCTGCCTAAGGGGAAAATAGCTGTCCTAAAACGAGTCCTTTCTTGAAAGAAGGGGGAGTACACTCCTTGTCTGAATGCTTGTTCATTTGCACGTTCACATTATGGGTGTACAAACACCTAACCTGCTGCTGTCGGGAGAAATGTAAGAGCCTGAGCCCCACAAGGGCACTGCCTGCTCTGCAGGGAGCCTGCTGGCTCCCATCCTGGTAGGGAGAGCTGTCTGGCTGCCTCTGGGTCTGCACTGGGGCCTCGTGCAGCTCTCACAGGCTTCTGAAGTCTGATGACCACCACAGCCTGTTGGAGACTTCAACAGGGACCCCAGAAAGCCTAAAGGGAAGAAAAAGCCTCATTTCAGCTCCTGTGAAACGGTCCAGGGCTATAAAGGCCTTGTGCTCTCCACGTGTTTTGGTTATCCCAGGCATCAGTCATCTGCAGGATCCGCTCTGTGACCTTCTTGTGACCTCCAGGCTTCACACTCTCATCTGCCAGCCCTCCCCACAACACCCAGAGAGACATTTGATGCTGGTCCTCTCAAGGGTGTGACTCTGGCACTGAAAGGGAGGTTCCTGCGCTAGGAGGGAAGGGTTCAAAACCACCTGGTGTTCCACTGCCGCTGAAACCATGGGTTCCTTTGCCTGCTCCTACACAGGGCACCTTCCCTGGGTGGGCTCTCTGCAGGCTGGGTCTTCTCACCAGCAGCTGAGATCATTTCTTGGGGATGCAAAACCTGCACTGGTGGAGATCACACTGGGGCAGGATTTGAGCTGGAGAGTTTCGGAGTATCATCACATTCATCCCTGCTAATGGATCCAAAGCCTAATGCCAGCTTTTCAACTTCTACCAGCTGCATAACCACTCCCAGTCAAGCCCTGGGCAGAGACCAGTGCTGAAGGATGCTCTGCCTGTGCTCTGATTCTTCGTTAGGAGAAGAGGACTCTGTTGAAGAGGACTCTCTCTTCCTATCACTCAAACTTCTCCATCCATCTTGAAGAAAAATGGTCCCTTAGGGGACCACCTTCAGCTTCCTGAGGGAGATGTCATTTTTTTCTAATGCATACCCCTGGGGCTTGCCTGGGGTTTTTGGACTCAAAACTTTGATTTTTTTTTTTTTTTTTAATTGCTTGTACCTGTCTCTAGTCATATTGATATTCTGCAGCAGCCTCTGTGAGAAATAAAGCAGTTCCTTTGTGTGCCTGATCAGTAAAACTTTTTGCTCAGTCATATTCCACTGTAGTGACAGAAGGTCACTCAATGGTGACAGTGAGATCTTTGAACATCTATTTGAACTCTGTCAGGAGGACAGTTTCCTCTCTTGCATTTGGTTCCTGTTTTTTCCAATTTCAAGTCAGAGAATGCCAGCCTAATTCCAGCTAACTCTCACCTGGTTCCCCAGCATGTATTTAAGAGCAGACATGGCTGATGTCATGAAAGGAGAGTTACTGCAGCTGCCTTATCCATGAGCCCTGAAGGGATATCTTTGACATGGTGCTAGATGACTTGAATTATCTTCCCTTTGAGGATGTCAGGGACAAGGAAGAGAGTGCAAGATTCACACAAATCTGGTGGAGATCTGCTTTCCTGGGACTTTAGCTCCATAATAGATTCACGTGCATCGAATGACTGAAGTTCCCCAAGGCAGGAGATCTGAGATCATCTCAGAGGTTTTTTTTCAGGGTTTAGGATGTGCTCAGGTCAATCTCAGTCTCCAGTGCTAGCTACAATAGCTTATTGCTTACGGAGCAAAGCTGGTGCTCGCTTCCCGATTTGTTCTTGATCACATAGTGGAGGCCCACACTGAGCGCCCCTTCTGCACTTCTGTTAGGAACAACCAGGAATGCACAAGAATGCCATAAAAGAGATCTCTGTTCACTAAAGCAGAAGTCTCTGCCTGCTAAAGTATTTGCTCTTCATCTCCCTGCGGCTTTTTCAGGCCTTTCCCACTCAGCCTGCTGACTCTTAAAATAGGTATTCGTTCTTTCCTCGGGACCTGATCTCACAGGGGCTCTTAACACAGTGTTGTGTTTTCTTGTGTGTCTACTTTGTGAGCTCAAAATCACATGGACTCTATGACAAAGACTGCCTCTTGTTGTTTTCCTGGTAGATGACCAGTAAGACCCACCCTAAATTCTTGTTAAAGGTCATTTTTGAGTTCTGAAAAATTAAGGGAGTAATTGACTTTATTTTTTTTTTCCCCTAACATGGTACTTCTTGAGAGGCCTGCTGGTACTAGCCGGGTAAGTTCAGTGGGCAGGAGTCTTGAAAAGTCATCTTAGTATTGTCAGTCATGAAAATGAGAGGTATAAAAATATTACGAAGCCCTAGGATAGCCAGTTTGGAACAAATAATTGCTTTCTTGGCTTGCAGATGGCCCTTTTCCCAAGTATCCTGGGCCATAATAGCATGTTGTCAGGTTTGTTAATCAGAAATGGAAAAATACAGCACAACTAATCTCTAGGGCTGCCAAGTAAGATGTGTACATGTGATACTGAAAGACCTGGAACTTCTTGGGAGAGGGATCATCCAGTTCAGAAAGGTGCCTGAGGATTATGGAAAGCTACTGCCTTGTCAGTGTGCTGACACTCCTCACCCCTCCTCTGCAGGCTCACCCCACAGCACGAGCTCTCGCAGGGCCACAGAGACTGTTCTGTGCTCGTGCTCCCTTTCAACACCTGTAATTTAAAGGCCAGCAAGCAGCTGAGTACACACCGGACACAGAAAAGATAAATAATATTGGAAGCACAACCTCTGTCCAGTTTGACAGGTTCAACAATCGAGCTGTCGCTTCCCGTAGCAGGCTGTCCCAGATCAAAGAGCTTGTCCTGTTCCCTGGCTGCAGGTTTTTTAGGACCGGGCTGCAGCACCAAGTACACGTCCTGCTCGTAACTCAACACCCAGTGATTATTTATGGACCTTCTTTTGGGGAGAATTTGCCTGGTTCAGAGGAAACGGGCCATGATTACTAGGAGCCTGGCAGGCAGGTGTTTCCTGCGATACCTAGAAAAACCCTGAATCTGACAAATTGAACAATCGCCCAAACACAAGATTGATGCTAAATATCAGACCTTTTACATATACTTATTGTTCTCTAACCTTTTTGAACAGCCAGGGTGACTGAAGGTATCTTGATTTAAAGATATGGCTGCACAAACAGTCTGCGGCTGGTTTTGAGCATGAATTGGTGTGGAGAAAACCACCGTGCTGGAAAATAATTGAAAACTTTCCAGAAAGCAGCAGCTTTCTGTGGCTCTGAAAGCTGCTCACTGTTTGGATAAATTAAGCTATTAGGCTTACTGTACTTATGCCTTTCCCTTATCAAAACTGCCACTGGTGGTAATGAAGAGAAGGTAGCCATGCCGTTTTGATCTTGGGAGAGAAAACAAAGGTGCTACAAGCTGTTGATTTTTGCACATTCAGTGCACTGTGAGATGCAGATCTGTCATGCCAGCGTCAGAGAAATATTCCTCCAGCAGCAGCTCTGCTTAGGCATCCATCTATTTGAAAAACTAACAACAAACTGTAAAAGCAATGCCTCGCGCTCTTCACTGGCTCTTCAGTGCGTATTTTGGGGAAACAAACAATTTATTATCTAACGACTAGAAATAGCTGGAGGGAACTCCAGCTCGCTTGAGGGAGTCAGGCTGCTGCTCCAAGTGTTTTGCTAGCTATCGCTTGCTACAGCGCTCGGCTGTGTGCTGCCACCCTCATATCTTGGGTGCGTGTTTATAAAGCCTCCAGACGATGCAAAACCCCCCATTTCCTCAAGGACAAAATGAAGCACTATAACGCTGGATGGTGCAGATGAAGAGAAAATACAGCCAGTACGCAGATGTCTCTCTGCTGATGTGTGCCTCAGTGCCCGGAGCTGTGTAACAAGCCCCGGCAGCTGTGGCAGGAGGACAAAGCAGTGGGTATGGTTTGGCAGCCTGCTCAGGGCTTGGGTCAGTGGTGACTTTACAAGACTAGGGCTATCTACGTGAAGGTAGCCTCTGTCCACCTTTCTTTGTGCACTCGCTGATGCTGGTTGATTTCTGGAGAAATACACAAATAGCTTCCTTGTGTGAATCCTCCTGTAAAATAAATGCCTGTAACAGAAATACTTTGTTTGGAGTGAATAATATTGATTGGCTTTGTCTTTACCCTGGGGGGCTGAAAGAACACCTGCAGGCTGTCCTCCGAGATCCACCGACCAAACTTCTGACTCCTTTAATTTAGCCTCTAGGGCTGTAATCTGGCCTTTGCTGTGTAAGTCACAGCGTGACATTTTGCTGATCTTGTAATCGCAAGGCTGCAGTCAGTGGTAATGTCAGGCTGAAAAGGTTAAACCTTGTTTGCCTTTTTACCATTGTTCGGCTTCGAGTCATTTCCCTACTGCGGAGCTGAGAGAGGCTGGACCTTATGGGGGAGTGCTTTGTGGCCTCAGTTTTGGCTCTCACGTCTGGTGCGCTGGGGCCTGACCTACCCAGGCAGGGCTGCGGCCAGAGCATAAGATTTTGTGCCAGTCTATTGTTGCCTAGGGAGAATGAGGCTAGCAGGCTTGTACCGTTCTCCTAGTATCATTAGGAGTAGCCCCTGAATTCTGTTCAGGGAATCCAAAGAACAGACGTAGGCACATTGTTCACCAGAATGCCACCCACCCTAAATGAAGTATCTACTCCAGAAAATGAATACTGAAAAAAAAACCAAACCCATCTACAGTCATTGAAACATAATTATTAAAACCTTTTATGTTACTCTACAGTACAATGTAAATTGTTCCTTTCAATTAAATTTTGAAATACACTAGATTACATCATTTAAATAATCTCAAACTTTTAAGTTCACTATTAGTGGTAGCGGAGCTATATTTACATACACTTCTGAGATATTTCAGATGCAGTGTTATGTTCCAGTCCCTAAATCAGTCAAATAACAGACATTCAGTGAGGGTATACTGCTCTTCCACAGGTTCTACACACACTTGGAGTGTTGGTGTGAGAGAGCAAGAACCCCTTTTATTCTTGTCTGGTTTTTTTTTTTATGCTGTGTGCATGCAGCTGTATCTGAGCAAATTGATACCTACTTGATTTGGATTAAAGATGAAAGACCTTTCTTTTTAAACAAGTATTTTGACTGAATATACAGAGGTGAATAATGAAATACAGTCCGTAGGAGTAGTGGTGGAAAACATCATTTTCTCCAACTTTCCTCCCCTGTTGCATAATACTGCACCTAATTTTGACCCTGACTTTACCTAATGCTGATGAAATATAGTCAATGGTGGAAACCTCTCTCATGTTGTCAAGACTGGCTTTCAACACAATCCATGCAACGGCAAGCATCATACATCATTCTCCCGCAGTGCAATATTAACAAGTTAAACTCAGTATTTTCCTCCAGAGATCTGCTCCTCGAGGGAAGCCCATCTCTGTATGTACATCAGCCACAAACAGGTTGAGTCCAGAGGCTGGAGATCAGAACTAAGGTGTAATGCTTACTTCCAGTGCTGCTAAGAGTCTTTGTGGGCCAGACTCTTCCCTGTGTTGTGCAAGTTCAAGACACCGAGACTCTCGATGGTCCTTGCACATGGCACTGGTCAAGCCAAGTCTCCCTGCGTGCTGCCCGTGCAGGACTCAGGGCCTGGTGTGAGGGGTGCTGATCATGATGTTGGGCAGCGCGTTCCGTCGCTTCTTCCAGGAGCCCAGCTCCCTCGAGTACCGCCTGATCTGCCTGAACCAGTGGTGAGTCCGTGCCCGGTCGCTGTCCCGGAACACAAACGCCTCCCGCCTGATCTCAATGAGTTCAAAAGTGTCGTCGCAGTCAGGATCAGTGGAGACGATGCAATTACTCAGCCTCAAGGGCTCCCTGAGCAAATGGAACTTCCCGTTATTTTTGTCCCTGATGAGTACCAGCACGGCATCCTTCACAGGCCCTGGCTCGGCTGACTCCAGGCTGGACTCAGACACACGCTTCATGTTCACCAGAAGGAGGACCTGCATGTTCTGGAACTTCAGGGTCTTGCTGCCTTTTTTCACCCACTGGCCGTCAGGGGGCTGGGCCAGCTGCAGAGACCCCTCCATCACAAATCGTGTTTCCTCCCGTAACCAACCTACGGTTTTGAGGGCGGTTTCTCTCATTTCAATATTGATGACTTCCCTCTTCTTCTTGCTGTCCTGGCGAAAGGAGCGGAGGGTCCACGTGTTCCCCTCCTGCTTGGTTTTCATGTTGATGTGCTCCAGGTGGGACTCAATGCGGCTCTTGGCCTCCCGCAGGCTGCCATGATCTGGGTGGTACTCAGTGGTGGCCTTAATGATTCTGCTGAGCAGTAGTGGGTACTTGGTGACTCTTTGCAAAGGGGCCATCAGGAAGGATCTCAAGTTCATCCGCCGCAGTGCTGTGTTGTCATTCTGGGAGACATTGAGGAATATTCTGCAGGGATTTAAGAATAGGGTATGAAATGGTGGCTGTTCTGCCAGCAGATGCTGCAATCCTAAATGCAAATGAACAGTGTAGCGCTGACAGCTGCTGCGCACTGCAGCCCCCCCTCTGGCTTTAATAGCCTAGTGAATTCTGTCTTCTCAAAAATTAACAACAATTTCTGCATCTGTGCTCAGCTGCACAACAGCAACGAGGAGCCTGGGACACTAGCACATAACATCCTAGCAGTCTTCTATGAAATCGTTGTTAAACAACGAGGGTGTGATCTTTCGCTGGTACACACGACGTAGGCCCGAGGCAGATACATCAACTTATATCAGATTACATTAATTTGTAGCTCCTTTCATCATAAGATTACAAAGCACTCTCAACAAGAATTTGTTACTGTCATCATTTTAAGCTGTTGCAGTGGAAAGAGAATTGACTCACCTGACATTGCCCAACAGGCCAGGGCTAGGAATGGGAAACAAATTCAAGTCACGCATGCTTCACACAGTGGCTTTCCCCAGTGGAAATCCAAACTGCGCTCTGGCACAGGGACTAAGAGCTGTTCTCTTTGGTGACAGTTCAGTGCAGTGGTCAGTGGGCAAACACTGCTACCACAAAATACAGTATATAGCTGGGGACCAACTGGCTGCCTCAGTGGAGATATCAAGGACTGAGTATCTTTTGGAGAATTAATTACTCTCCTCATTCCAAGAGAGAGCAGCTCATCACTGAAGAACATTAGCATCAAAACTTTGATCTAGTTGAGCTGACAAAGCCTTCACCCTCAGCCTGGTGCCTTCCTGTCCCCAAAGTCTGGAAGAATACGCTCAGCCCTTTTCTCACCTGAGCAACTCTTTCTCCTTCTCCAGTGCGTTGAGCATATTCACAGAGGAGGACTGCTGAAGACAGTAGGTCTGAAAGGCTGGCAGCATGTTGACGAACTCTAGAAATACTTCACCGATGCACACGGTCATCAGGTCATCATCCCCCTGCAAGCATGCAATACAGCCCTTGCTGGGTTAGCTCAGGAGAGGCACAAGCACGGAGCCTGCCTTCAGTCCTATCAGCATGAACCTACTGCAGGAGCTGGTGAACGCCAGACCAAAGGTGGAACCGGGCTCACCCTTCCTGGTGTAAAGGCAGTCCCTGCAGGTCCAGGGGGAAGCAGTGCGTGGGGAGGAGAAGGAAAGCTGGTCTAACTGCTTGCTCTCCTACACATAAAGAGCTGTCTTCTCTGCTTCTGTGGGCTCAGCCAGCTTACCAGAGCAGGGACGCAAAGGCCAGAGGCCAGAGTGAGCCTGCTAGTCAGGAGGATGTACTGGGGTCCTTCTTTGCTGGCAAGTCTGCCGTAAGCCTAATACAGCAGTGCATACATTAACACAGAGTGTCTACAAGTAAACAGGCAGGTAAGGCATGTAACTCAGGTAACAGACATGGCACTTCACAACTTCTGCAGTTGATCCCAGCAACTGGCCTGGCTGGGAAGCAGTCTCCTTCATTTGTGCTCTTACTGGCTACTTTGATGTCTACATGAAAAATAAATTTCATTGTAAATTGTTCTTTCATTTCTTGATGCATAATAAAATAAGAGAATAGTAAGAATCTGGTGCCACATAACACTCAGCTTTGTGGAGGTGTATGCTGATGTGCTCTGCAATCACTACTCATTTCAGCAGCAAGAGAGGGAGCAGTTCTCTGGCTGTTGGCGCCTTTCCCTTTCTCCAAGGAGGAGGAGATAGGGAAACCCACGGCTGTTTGTAGAAGCCATTGTCTCAATAAATCATTCACAGGGGACATCACACCCACAGTGCATATCTGTCTTCACTGTGCCAGGTGTATGACAGTGGTTGTCAAAGTTGCCAGTTTTTGAGATGTGTCACTCAATCTGACATGCAGGCTTTTGGAGAGAGAGAGGAGGTATGTGTCTCCTAGAGAACAAAACATCCTGGTGAAACTGATACAGCAAGTGTGTTTTGGTTTCTTGAAGAAAGGAAGGTGTGGAGCTACTTATATATCCTTTGCAGTGATTTTCTACTGCTCTAGAGCGTTATTCCTATTTCTCTGCCCTCTGACTACCATGCTGGTGCCTGCATTACCACAGCAGAGAGTGAGGCCAGCAGCTGTGACCTGGCACAGGCCTACTGAAATCACTGGTTTACAATAGCTGAGGGAGCAAAGGACTAGGTAGCTGACCAGAACCCAGGACTCCTACCTCCTGATCCTCTGCTCCACCTATGCTGCCCCACTAATATAAAACCTATCCCTGTCTGCCCCGTCTAGCTCCTTTAGAGCATGCAGCATCATACCTGGTCAAAAGCCTGATCAATCTCTTCCTGGAGTATCTCGAGGAAGTTCTCGTTGAGGTCAATGAGCTCCTGGATGTTGCTGAAGATGCCCAGGAGCTGCTCCTGGCTCAGCAGCCCAGCCGCCTGCATGGGGAGGTAGAACTCCTCTTTGATGATGCGCAGGTCCTCTCCATAGCTGGCCTCTGTGTTGACAAACTCCAGCACAGACTCCTTGCGCTCTGTCCTGCGCTTGCGGCACTTCTCACAGAGGTCAGCCCGCCTCTGATTGCAGTTCTGCACGTCCGTCTCCACCGGGAGGTCCCTTTCTCCACAGTCGGTGCAGGGACGGTGGGCTTCCCAGGCCTGCAGGGAGCTCAGCGTTTCGGATGCCCTGTTCCTCCACTTCCTGGCTGGCATCTGGCCAATGCCACTGTCTGCCCTCTCCACATCCGCTGACTTGGTCCGGGTGGCCTCGCTGGGATCCAGGTCATCCCGAACATCATTCACACCAACAATCCCACTGTCCGTGCTCAGGCTGCTGACATTGCTCCAATGATGTCTGGAGCGGAGGGAGCCACGTGGGGCACGGCGGGTCTCATCAAAGCTGCCCCCATGGCCAAGGTTGGCTTTTGCTACCACTGGACCTGAGAACAGACACAAATCATTACAGGCACTGCCAGCTGCACAGAGCTCACCTGAGGAGCCCACGCTGGCACAGACATGAGGGGTAGGAACCCTGGGGGGGCAGGCTAGATCTGGTGAAAGCAGGGCTGTTAGCTGTCTCCCCTCCTGTTTTGCTGCTGAGACTGGCAAGAGTCAGAAGTAAACAGCTCCCAAGCAAAGCCTGGGGCCTGTCATCCCTGCACTACCCATACCTGTGAACTCATTTGGGCTCTCACTTCCCCTGCCATCTGCCAGGCACGGACAGAGACACAGCAGAGCAGATCCGATTTCTTGTGCACCTGGGTTAAACCCTGAATGATTCCCTCCCCCAGGTCAGTAGAGTTATTCCATATTTACACCAGCAGAGCAGGGCTCAGCATCTGGCCCATCAGCCCTCTCTGAGTGTGCAGAATGTACCGTAGTCTCGCTCCTGCCGGCGCTTCTGTGCATGCTGCCGTGCTGCAGCTGCAATCTTCAGCTCCAGCTGCTTCCTCTTCACCGAGTCTGTTGGCATAGGGTCACTGAAGTGTGGCCGCAGCCGGCACTCCCGCTGGGCCTTGGCACCATCCGTGCTCTCATGGACAATGTCGGAGCTGGATCGGCGGCAGCTGGGACTGGGGGTCTGCAAGAAAGACAAGTGGGTTTGGAGAAAGGCAGTGGTCAAAGCAGCACCTGGTTTGCAGCCACTGGACTTCAGTTGCCAAAGGTGAGAAAAGGAAACTCATCAGTGGTTGGATTGTGCTACATGATCATTAGGAAATCTGTCCCCCCAGGTCCCTCTGTCTTGCTTAGTCCTAATAGCAAGGACTCCCTTTGTTGTTGTGTAGCTCTGAGTACAGTGGCACTGTGGTGGCTGGATCACGACTGTCAAATAACCACGAAGAAGGCAATGGCACAGCCCTGGCTAAGGGGCTCAAGGAGGGGCTGAGCCTGCCCTCCAGGGATCTGAGCTAGCTTGCCTCCGTTCTGTGAATGGTTCAGCACTGCAGGATCAGGAACTCCAGCCTCTAGGCCTTACCTACATTAGCAGTTTGACCAAGTGGGGACTAGGAGGGAGCCTGTCTAACCTCCCAGGCAGCGCAGCAATGAGAGGCAGGCAGCACACTGAAAGCCATGAAGGGGTTATTACTGAACTCGTGCAAGAGATGCAGTGGCAGATAGGCAAGGGCACAAAACTGACTCCTGTTTCATTAACTGGAATAAAAAAAGGCACTAGAAACACTTCTAACAGAATTTAATCACTTGTGGGAGCTGGTGTGGTTTCAGATCCCAGGTTCCCAGTCTGTCCAGTTCCTACAACAAAGGGATCCTTTAGACCTTCAGACAAGAAAATAATCCTAAACGCATGCCCAAGATGAGAGGGGAACTCCTCTCCCTTACATTCCCTGCAGGTGGAGTGTCGCTGGATGTCTCATTGCCTGGCTTTTCCTCCCAGGTCTCTGTTGCCATGGACATCGCTGTGGGCTGCTGGCTGTCCTCTGGAGGTGGGAGATCAGCTTCCCTCAGATCACACTGTTCCTTGGAGGGGGATTTGGCATCAGTCTCAGCATTGCAGCTGCAGGGGAAGAAGCAGACTCTGATGAACATCACATGTGCAGTTCACCTGCTGTTGCTGACACAGATGAGACTAAGCAGCAAGCCCAGGTTTCAACAACCAACCAGCCGCAACAGTTCACGGAAAGTGCAGGCAGGAATCTAGACTGGCTGGCATGGATGGCTGTGCATGCGTTTCAGCAGCTCTAAACACAGCTCAATTATAGCAGTGCAAATCGGGTAATTGCACTCACGCCAGCATGAGTCTGGGATATCAAGTCTTGGGTGTTCACAGGGCATTTTTGTGTCCATAAAACATGAGGTTCTCCCATAGGGACCAGAAAAACCTCTAACTAGGCCATATCCATATTTGCTGCTATTTAAAGAGATGTTGTCAACACAGAAACCATATCGCTCATCTGGAAGAAAATCACCTGCTAAAAACCATAATACTTTGAAGAGATTAGAGGATTAAAGGAGCTTTCCCTCTGTTTTTCATCTCATATGATCCCAAGCCTGCTGAAATCACTGGAAAGATTCCCTCTGCTTTCCGTGAACTCAGGATCAGGCCTTCTGGTGCACTTAAGAGTCCTGAAAAGACTGGCAGAGTCTGTTGTTCTCACTTGGCAGTTCTGGGATGCTCTTATTCACGGCTGTCTGATGTTAACAAGGGCCTGGCCTGGCTGATCCAGGCAGCCTGTTCCAACCCCACGTTCCCCTCCCTGTAGCCACCACTCCAGACAGACAAAGTCTGGTGCAAAACCACTAACTTGACAGAGTAGTTGACAGGCTGTAGTTTTTGATACTACTTGTGATACATTTTTTTAACAGACTCTCTAAGACACCTTATTTCCATGCATAATGAAGCCTGCTTGGAAGAATATTACTTTTTTTTCATTTTGGGTTTACTTAATTTTTATGGGCTTGGATTCCTTTAAAAAGAAGGGTTGTCAGGAACGTATATGGATGACTGCACATAGAGGAAACCTGTGCCTGGAACATATTCCAGGTTATGCATGTATTTTATGCTTAACAAAAGTCTCCCACCACAAAAACCTGCTTCTTAAAGGCTCCACTTGTGAACTTATACTGGTGGGTCACACTGCCAATGTGCAATTCCAACACTGCCAGCTACAAGCAATCACATGAGACAGATGGGCACTTCCCTTACAATGAATGACAGCTCCGGTAAGAAACCATCAGCCAACAATGAAATTGCTGAAGAGGGAACAAATCTCCCAGAACTCAAACTGGCTCTGTTGTCAGGCCAGAAAAGTTGGTTTGCAACCTTCCAGCTGATGCTTTTTCATCTTCCTCCATTTTTGCTTCCAGGCCCCAGCTGACACTACCAAAGGATTTACAAACTTAAGAGTTTAGCCACGGCTGCGCAGCAACGGCACAGTGCTAACAGCAGACTCCTGGCTTTTACTTTTTGCTGTGCTAACTCCCTGCCATGTGGATTTGGAAGCATCACTTCACCCCTCCAGGCCTCCTCTTCCCAGAATAAGATGGGGATACCAACATCAGCACTGACACGGAGCAGTACGTAGTACAGACTGCATTATCCCCCTCACAGGCTTGCAGTAAGAGCAGAGCAGGCACACTGCAAGTTTGCAGTCCCACCATGCTACTGCCCCGGCCTGGTCTGGCTTAAGATGTTCCTGGCCCCCTCCTCCCTCCTATCCCCAACCACAGTTGGGGTACCGCACCTTCAGCCAGTCCAGTGTAACTGTCTGTGTGGCCATGATCTAAAATCAGTCTTGAAATGATCTGGGTTTAAAAAAATATCCTCCCTCATATACTCCCAGCCAGATCATTTCACTGATGTTTCATTGAGTTGGATAAAGTATGAACAGTTCAGTTGGGCACACCTGTGGGAGGGAAGGCAGAGGTTAAGGAGCAAGAAAGCTCTTGAAGAGGATCTGCCACTGCCAGAAAACTACCATTTCCAAAAGCTGCTCCTGCTCAAACAGCTTCTGGTTGAAATGTGCAGAAAGAAGTGACCATGCTGAGGCACAGAGAGGCAATGGGATGTGTCCAAGGTCACTAGCAGAGTTCAGAACTGGCATATTATCTTCTCGATCACAGCACCACCCACCATACAGACCACAGCCTCAGAGAGAAGCTGAGCTTTCATTTGTCATTTTTACAGTGCTTCAAGATCATCCACTTAAACATGGAAAGTACTCCCAAGTATTACTGTTCCTCTAAGTGAAGCTGACAGTAGCTCTCTGCTGGTAAGGTCTGTGGAGCAGATACCATTGCTTATTGTGGTTTCCACAATCCAATAGGGATATTTTTTAAAAATCCCCAGAAGTGACCTGCAGTGGGAGTAAGAGCCAATACTGTCCAGAGAGCTGAGCTAAGGAAGTGTGACTGGTGACAAAGAAATTCAACCCACCCCATGGCTGGTCAGCTAGAGGTAAGAAAGGCAATGATGCAGATGCCATATTGTGTGAAAGGAGATTTCTTCATCCCTGGTTTGACTGCTTTACTTCTGGTTGTGATTAGATCCCTCCTGAATGACATACTGGCCATGATGGGGGGGGGGGGCAAGTGCTGTTCCACACAGCAGTCATTGTGCACCACACCATTAGCGTGATCAGAGGGATGTAGACAAAACAGGGAGGATACAAGCAGTTTTGTAGAACCAAAACTTAGGGCTGCTCCTTTAACCTTCACCCCTGGCTTAGGAGGAAGAGGGGACATTGCCAAGAAAAAGGGATATTGCTCCCTCCTCCAGTCCACTCACCCTGGCAGAGATCTGGGCTGCCAACACCAATGCCTGCTGAAGCACTCCCCTCTGCTCTCACGCAGAGCCACAGAAGTTGGGACTCTGGCATGTTTTCTTCTGTGGGATCAAATCACATATTGGGATAGCAGTTTTCAGCCTGGGGTTGGTGTCAGCTTCCCCTGTTCTCTCTAAGATAGATGATGCACTTGGGCCAGCACATGAAGGACAGGTTCTTTCTGAATGGCCTTTTAATGTCTGGGCCATCACCTCTGAATTTCACGGAAGCAGAGGCATTAGGTGTGTGGTGTACAACTGGAAACTCACCTGCTTTCCTTCACGGTCTCTAGGGATTCTTCATGGTTGTATCATTGTCCAAGCCAGCAGTTCTTAGCCCTTTCCACATGCTCCCGACTCTGTCTGGCTAATGAAAACGTTTTTGCCCACTCCTTCCCTGCTGGCACCTGCCTTCCAGACATGGGAGTTCCTCTGCTATGGGAAGCTGTTATTGTACCCACCATCCCAGTGTCACCCCAAGTACACCCCATCACTCTTTTCAGGAAGCCTTCTTTCTTAGTCACATGCTTTGCTTCCTTATGCAGGTTTTTGTTGCCACCTTGTCCTTGCATGTCCTTATCCTGAACAATTGACTGCTTAAACAAGTTCAGAAAGTGGACTATATATTGAAATGCGTACAGGATTTCCTCCTAGATGTCAACACCCCTTCCCCGCCAGGACTACAACCAAAGTTAAAGGTATCCAGTGACCTATGAGGGGACTAAAGCCACCATAACTACGAAGCTGAAAATCGTATCTTCACTGATGAAACATTAAGCCATTTGAATGAGTCTTAAGTCATTAACTATGAATTACTAGGGAGGCAATTAACTTACCAGACAAAACTGCTTTGTAAAACTGTAACACACAGAAACACTAGAAAGAGATGACAATTTCAGCTATCTTATTCTGTGATGCTCCATCACAACACCTTTATCAAAGGCTTGCTGAGCTCCATATCTGTGGAAATGGGACCAAATCCCCAGCTTGCAGCTCATTTCATTTGAGATTCAGAAAAAATGTGGTCTGGATGTCAGTAATCATAACTTAGGACCCAAAACATCCAGACAAAAAGTCTCCCACCTCTGCTGTGAGAATCTGCTTGAGTTATATATGAATATTCAGCCACTTTACAGTCTCAGGTGAAAATGATGGAAAATTGAGACATTTCCAGATAAAGGAAAACTGGAGTTTCCCACTAACCAGTATTTTGGCATTGACAACAGATTTGTCTTCTTCCTGCTATCCTGAAGAAATGACAGCCTTTACCTTTAATTGTTATTACTATGGAAAATAAATAGGCCAGGGTGGTTTCTTCACATGAAACAACCTCTCTAGTACTGGAACCACTGTCATTCTCATTTTTAGATCAATTATCATTTTGGTGTTAACAAAATCACCTCATATATTTTAACAAATCCAACTAGGAAGACTGAACACACTCACAGAAACAAAAACCACTGAAGATATTAAAAGCACAGAAACCACACTGAAACCATAAAGGCCCTAGGCAGAAAGTGTTTGGAGGCTGGGAGAGTAGTAGGAAAAAAGATCATATGCACTACCCAGTTCCTGTATACTTTGCTATGTGTGCACCTCCACCTCCGGCTCCAGATACTAGTCAAACCTTTGATCTGCCCAGTGACAGCTGTTCTTATGCTCTTACTCATGGCTTGTACCATTCTGTGTATTTCATTTCACATCAGTGATGAAAATAGCCCACTCAATGAAAATGGTTGCATACCATAACTATCTTGTCTGTTTATTCACTGGGTTCTCATACTCTAGAACAAAAGCACAAAAGCTGGGCTGGACAGCTGAAGGAAGCATTTAGGGCTCTGACACCACCTACTTCCCCTTGGATTATTAATAAGTTGCAGAAGTATCTCTCCTTGTCTACAAGGGGAGCTTCAGCTCCACAGAAGTTCTTTCAGATGACTCATTCCTGTGCAGAAGTCACTATCACCTCCTCTAAAACCTGAGTCCAGTCTCAGAGCTCTAGCATTCCAGAAATATCAAGGCAGTGTACAAAGCTGACACCCTGGCATTTCACACACTGCATCTGTGGATGTCGGAAGCAGCCAGGAACCAAGTCAAATGTAATTCTTGGCAAAGCCAGTCCTGAAAGCCAAGCGTATGGAAACAAACCACTCCACCAACATTTACTCCTCCTTTTCCCATCAGCCTTATCTAGTGATAAGACAGTGATAACTGACCCAAATTCCTAGCTTCCAGAACTTTGCTGATTCCTGTTGGTCCTCCTGCTTGCATAGAAAGGGATCCTCATTTCTT